ATTTTTCATCATAATCTGGATTACCCAAAATTATCGTGAACTGTGCCTTTAATACCCAAGGTCAAACGTGTGATGTAGCTGTGAAATTCGTCACCCAAAGAATCGTATTTGATCTTTCGATAATATGGCGATTGTTTTTACAAAAGAGTGAGCTAATTGCTACTGTCAGCGATTCACTAAACATCAAAGAACTATTTGTACTCGAGCAACAACATATGAACAGCTGCATGCCCGCTTCGAGGCGTCTTTTTTGGCGGAATTAGCACAGAGCTGTAGAAAAAGAGAGTCAACGAAATGAAATTGAAACAGTTTCTCCGTTTGGGCGAGAATAGGTACAGGATTCGGTTCAAGAGTGATTAGCTTATTCAGTTCAAGCTCTCCAGTCGTTAACCTTGACCACTTCTGAAAATACTTTTCTGCAGTCATTTTTTCTTCCAAATACTCTTTTTTTGCAGCTCTTTCATCTGATTACGGGTTATGGAATAGCAAGAGCACTGGGCCGAACTCATTATTTACCATTCAATACTGTCTTACAATCTCATGTACAAGGATATCTGAATGAATTCAAAAAAGTTTTTCCACGGCTCCATGAAACTTACGTCATCGGGCCGGTAGGTTTCTTCATAAGTTTGCCTCAAAAGTTCAAACTCTTTTGCGTCACAAAATCCCATTCTAAAATTTGCCCCTACGTTTGATTCTCTTCGAAATCGTGGTGGCTGTTTGAACGCATTTGAAGCCCACACAATGACTTGGATCTACAGCTAATGTACCAGTCATTGCTTTCACACTCCCAATCGGGTCTGGTAGCCCAGAGAAAGGGAAGGCCCGGTCGACAGGGGAGAGCACATATCAGTTCATGCTTTGTCCACCGAGTCATGCGTGTGTGAAAATGCATGATTTGCCACTATATCACTTCATTCCTCAACTCGGTCTTGACCTTCAGATTTGAGAATAATTTTCAGAAGTTTGAATATCTCACGATGCTTTAAAAATCACTTTTTAGATTATCCTATAAGCCAGAAAACTTTCCCATGTTATAGATGAGTTTTGGTAGATTACAGAGATTCGTGAGGTGTTTCAGAGAAGGGTGCAAAGAATAAAATTTGGAGGGTAATTAATAGAAGTCAGCGATAGCGATAACAGTACGTATAGTTCGAAGAACAAACGCTTACGAACTCTTTGTTTTTTCCTGCAGTGGGCGTAACTGTCCATTTATTAGGGATGACATTGCATTTCCAGACGTAGCCAAATCGTCGGTGCCTTTATCCTTCCAGATGAGTATGGTACGAAATAATTGACCCCGGAAGGATAGAGTGTTTGGGCACTTAACAAACGAAAAATTTGTCAAGTTTCTTCTCACGAATAATAACCTGAACGAATTCCAATTTGGGATACGATCACGGGGGCGGGGCATGCCTGAGTAGTAGTGCGCCATTTTCCACTACACCACCCCAGCCGCTAACAAACTCGTACTACCTCATTTTCTAGTTAACTTTTCGGATGATCCTATCAATGAATTGAGCTCGTATCAGAAAAAATCATAAATCTACGAATTGACTGAATTTCCACCCACAAATAATGACCATCTGCTTTTAGGAGAAACTCAATGTAACAGCTATACCCTTTGGTGGCTCATGCTGTGCCTACGACGACCCTATAAGGTGTGATGCTTTCCGAATCACATACCAAAACCAGTAGAACACTTTTTTTTCTACACTCGAATTAGAGAATTCTTATGCTCTGAATTATAAAATATTGAAAGGACCATAATGAGGTCGGAAATTCGAGATATAGGTATGCGTATACTATCGAATAATGCGTTTTGAACTTCCTACCGTAAAAAGTTTAGTCTTGAGATTGTCGCCGGCAATAGTGCTGACATTCCTTTTTCAATGGTTTGAATTCCTTAGTAGAAAACACTCGGTGGTCTTGATCGCACGATTTTAATCTTGATTTTCCAATTGGATCTGTTATACTTCGTGATTAGGTCCGTTCTGGTGTACGTATACAAGCATAGAGATGTCATGACTTGATTATTTCTTCTCCCTATCCCCACTCGATTTCAGCTCTTGAGGAATGACTCGAATGGAGAGGGCGGTTAAGAAGGAAAGGTTAAGGACACCGTGTCGGGAAAATGTAAGATCACCCAAAAAAAGGGGCAAGGGGAAAGAATCGCCACCAAAAACGATAACAGCCACCTCCATCAACTTGGAACTTCTTGTCCTGAGCTGACCTTAAAGAGACCGAGAATAAGCCCCCTGTTACAAGCACCAGCCGATAATTTTCTTGATTAGCAATATTCCTACGATTTTTGCTCCGTATCCTCTACTACTCTCGCATTCCAGGCTCGCGAACAACTCTGACAAATACATTCTTCTGAATTACCTATATGGACAAAATCCGCGTTATTTCGATAAATATCTCGACGATGTTCGACAATTTTTGACGTTTTCACGAAGTATCAGTGATGAAGGCGACTACATTATTGATACGATGGAAATGTACATTGACAGATTTGATTTTTCACAGAACATCTCTCTTTGGCTACAACTCAGGGATGGCTTTACTGGTCTAGCAAGCGTAATAGTTTGATGTGTATACATATTCGGAGAACGGATTTCATTGAAAGGAATGTTGCAACCGACGTGAACCTAACAGTTACCGCAGCGAACACCATCGCAAAGCAAACGGTAAGCCCGTTGGAACGTGACTTTCGGCCACCAAACGGCCTCCCGCGCAACCATTGCCGCTACCCGTGGGACGAAAATCTAGGGAGGGGGCACCCAACTTTTCTAACACTAAGCGCGGATAGGACGGGTAGCTGTTTTCGGGGTCGTAATGATGCTCTCTAAGCAGGAATGGTATGCTGCACGGTACAACCCACCCTTTCGAAAAGAGATGAGTCAGTGACCATTTGAATAATTAGATCTTCTCCATCTCAGCATTACCCTATTTCTTCTTAGGCTTGATTAGAAAACCATATTCCCGTAGCTAAAAAATGTTTAAAAGCACCTTTACGGGCTCGTAGAGCCAGCTATCCCATCTCTGTCCTCTAGCACCTTGGGGCCCCCTACTACGCTTTCCCAGCCGTGGGGATTCGGGTCCTGAAATCCCCTTCCAGCCTTACTTCTATAGTGACTTTTCTATTGAATTTTCTTCAGAATGCCTCGCAATTTCTCCTTTTTGGAGATGATCAGATTTTCATGAAGGATCTCGCAAATAAAATCATAAAACGTGGAAAATGGAAGAAGGATGTAGGTTACCTCGACGTGCCAACATTTTTGTGTCTTTTTGAGTTTGATTTTTTGGACAGAGTGCTTTTTTTTGACCCCTTCACATATGCACACTAGCTTGTTAATCAACAAATAATTGAAAATTTGTCTATTCTCCCGGCCAAATAATATCGCTATCCGAACGGAAGACTAGGCAGGGGATAACGGAGGAGAGCCTTTTTCGACAGCAGTGGTTTTTGTTATTGGGTTAAGTGGGTCAGAGATGAAGATAGTTCCAGGTATTCAAATACTCAGATGTTGACACTTTATGATACCTGATGGTTAATCCTTATTTCACCATTTCCTATCACTTTTTTAAAGAAACTGATCTCGATCCGTTATTGTCATGTCGACAGGCGAGAGTCTTTACTCGTACGTGGCTCTACTGCCCCTTACCCATGGGTAGATTTCCTAACCATAGGACTAACAAAAAAAAAATCCATGTCTTACCCATTAGGACACATGTGATTCAGGTAATTTACACAGAACTCAATTACCCCCTTTCCTAACCCTCCACCCCCTCTTTATATGTAGGCGTAAGAAGTATTTTGTAGTGGGTTTGAAGAGCTTCTATTAGTCAGCCAGCGATATTCAAACTACCGTTCGCAAAACGATCGCTCGCGGATTATTAGTTTTTCTCAAAGCAGGGCAACGTTCCTGTCATCCCAGACGAGTCTGTCACCGAATAACTGATCCCGTAGGGATTCAGCATTTGAGTGGCCTGGACGAATAATCGATTGGAGATACGATCTCTACTAGACCATGCCTGTAGGATCCTTGGTCATTTTTCACTATATCACCTCCGCCCTTAACGAACTTGTACTGCCTCAAGTCCTGTTTCTCTTCAAAGTTTATCATATCGATAAGTTGAGCCCGTATCAGGAAATGATTTCAGTCCTGGTTCTCTTCAAAGTTTATCATATACTAAGTTGAGCCCGTATCAGGAAATCATTTCAAATCAACAAATTTACTAAATTTTCACCTACATAGTGTATACCACATCCCTGCATCCACCTGACACAAGTTTTTCGGGTAGAAAATATACTTGCTTCTTGGGGTTTTTAGCTTGAGTTATACCTTTCTACTATAGCTTTTTAACACATACATACAATATTGAGGCCGCTATGATCTCCAACTACAGTGAGTATATGGACTTGTACTTATCGTCTCAATTATGCCGCTCTTTTCTTATATCTGCTCCTACATCGACTTTTGGATGGTGGTTGGCATTTTTCATATCTGATCAGAATGCTGTGTATTATACATCGGATGAAAGGAATCAAGATGGTAAAATAGTAACCAGAGAATTGTTCATGTAAGTTTTCTATGACATTTTTCCCACCAGCTAGAATCATGGGAATCGGCTGTGCTAATGGCGGGTGGAGCTTTTCCCGACTACGCGAAATACACTAGATGAAGCGTAGCCATACTTGGGTTGCTTAAACTACTTCTATTACCACGCAAACACGTCGTCCGTGGTAGGGGGCTCTACCCTCAGTCCTCTTCCAATACGTACCACCTTTAACAACAGGCTCGCTAAACTCACGTCCACCTTTAGAACCATCGCCGAGTATAAACAATGTGCTCAATTCACAAATTTCAATAAAATTACAATATTGAAACGTCTCTTTTTCAGGAAATCATGGCAACGAATATGACATGCTTTCAATGTGGATCTCACCTATTGTAAAAAGAAGATTATGGCACATTTCATGATGAAGTGGTTTCTGAGCTCCCAGTTTCCCCCCCCCCCCCCCCCCCCG